TTTTTGACCAACTCGTAGTTCATTTTTTAGCACCTTAAACTTGACAGATCAGGCAGTCTTAATAAGTTTAGATGGCTCAGAATGGCTAGCTTTCAGAAACTATTTGTTTTAGCAAAAGTTATTAACATAAATATATATAAAGTCGGGCTGTAAGTTGGTCAAAAACCTGCCCCCGCCCCCGTTAACCATAAAGGTCCAAATTTATAATTGTTTATGTTTCTTTATATTGGGTTAGGGAGAATGAGTCGGCGCCGAAAATCAAAGAAATTTCTAAAACTTATAGCAGACTTTGTCAAATGATATGCGTTTGATATCCGTAGAAGGGTAACTAATTCTCTACAAAATAATATTTAAAAGAGAACTCAAACAGCGCCTCAACTCAACAAAGGATCATTTTTTTCACAAAATCGATAAACTGTCATCTAGAGTAAACGGTTGGAGGGATCCTCCTGAAAATTTGGTAACTTATGTAATTGAGTGTGCTCTATCTTTTTTATATAAACACCAAAGGAGGTTTATGTGGAAGAAACTGTTCAAGCAATGAGTCGGACTTTTTGTCATTTTGATTAGCTGTGTTTGGGAATCCATAAAATCCCAAAAAGAAAAGCTTTTGTGGAATCTCTCAAAAGCCATTTTGTAAAGAAATAGTGGACCATTTTGATGAAAAAAAACGTGTATTTAAAGAAGGTTTTATGGGTGCAAAAAGTTTCTTTAAATTTCGGCGCCGACTCATTCTCCCCAACCCAATAATTTATAATTATTTATTTTCAAGCCGGCCGCTTACCGACAAATCTCGATGTCTTTTTCTCTTTATACGTCGTGTACCAAATCTTGTGTACGGGTACCAAAAAAAAAGCAAACGCGTCGAAATGTTGCAGAAGCTTCGTTTAGCCCGAAACATCTATCGTCGCTACCTGAAAAACAACGTAAGCGTTCAATTGGTTGTGGATCTCTTCTTTCCCCTCTTGAAACATTGGCTTCGATGCCAAAATCTAAAATTAATAGTAATGCTCACTGAATGTATAGCCGTGCGACATCTCTTTTTGCTAGAGAGTATCAAATGGACAGTATCCGGAAAGCTTCGGCACAACACGTCGATTATGAGATATCAGGGAACGCTATTGTATTGAAAGATCTATTTGCAGCAGTAAAACATCGATTGAGCCAGATGACCGATGCTGAAACGGAACGGTTGATTATAATTGGCGATAAGGGACCTTAGATTAGGTCGGCACAACTTAATAATGACACGTTTATGTAACAAATCATTTATTTCAAAAAAATACAAAAGAAGAGCTTTCAATTCGAAAGGTATTCTCCATTCGTATCTATGACTTCTTCCCATCTTCTGCGCAAATCCCGGATCCCATCCTCGAAGAACTTGGGGGTTTTTGAGGCGAAGTAGTCATTCACTGCTTTTATGACCCGAGCATGATCATCGAACTTTTCTCCCTCCAAAAAGTGCTTCAGCCAACGAAACAAAAAGTAATTTGAAGTCGGAAGTCGGAAGAGTAAGGTGCATGGGGCAGCACTTTCCAGCCAAGTTCCTCGATTTTCTTATAAGTGATCTTTGCAGTTTGCAGTGTTGCAGTGCAGGTTTTGCGTTGTCGTGTAAGAATCTGACTCTCTCCGGTTTGAGCCCCAATTTCTTCAAAGACTCGTTGACTCTCATTAATTGCTTAGAATAAAGATCAGCATCGACGGTTTGACCAGGTTTCAGCACTTCATAATGCACCAATCCCTTGAAGTTCCATCAGCAACAGAGCATTATCTTCTTCCCATGGATATCCGGTTTGGGTGTGGTTTGCGGGGTCTGCCCAGTAGATAGCCATTGATTTTTGCGTTTGAAGTTCTCGTAGTTGATCCACGTTTCGTCAGAAGTCAAAACCCTGTGGAAAAAGTCGTTTGATTTACATTTTTGTAGCAAAATTGAGGCGACATTGACACAGGCCATTTTGTTGCTTTGGGTCAGTTCGTGAGGAACCCATTTTCCAACTCGATTCTTTTTCCCAAGTTTGTGTAAATAGTTTTCGATTGTCGTATGAGATACTTCAAATATTTCTGCCAACTCACGAACAGTGAGGGTTGGGCAATCTTCACTTAAGGCGAGCAAGTCATCGTCGACCACTTCTGGAGGATGTCCTTGGTGTGGCTCGTCTACGAGGCTTTCATCGCCGCCTTGGAATCGTTGAAACCTTCGTTGACATTGACGAATGTGTATACTTTCCTCTCCAAAAACAGTGATGATCGTGCGATGAGATTCAGCTGGTGATTTTCCTTATTTAAAATCGTAGACCAATGCAGCTCGAATATGGAATTTTTTGTACTCCACTTTTGCCAAAAAGCGAATGATGAAATTTGGAGCACTAAATCTTATTTATGCAGACATCTTTTACTTTGTATATATGCAAAAAAAGAGGGAAGAAACGACGCTTGAAATTACAAAAAACATGTTAAGTAGTGACACGTCATTATTAAGTTGCCAACCCAATAGTACAAAGCTAACACTTATGCTTCCAGACAAGAAACACAATCCGCAATCGTGCTATAACCACCTGATTCTTGTTGTTTGGAAAGGAGGAGACGACCATCAAAATCTGCTAAAATACGGTAATATTGTCGACAAGCTCTCACCACTCAGCAGACAGATATTTTTGGGAGGTGATCTCAACTTTCTTGCATCGTCATTTGGTTTGTCCAATGCATCAACTTGCCCATGCATTTGGTGTATATACAAACTGGACAAATCCCTAAATCCAACAAAATTTATCACGAATTTCGATCGACATCAATATTCGGTTCGAACAATCAAACACTTTGATGACATTTTGCAAAGAAAATCTGCGAAACCTGAAGAGAAGTTGGGCGTCTTTCGCCGACACATTTGGCCGATAGATCCATCGTGCTGTATTCCTCCTTTGCTACACCTTAAACTTGGTTTTGGTAATTGCATTTTTAAATTATGGAAACAGAGGCTCGTGCAAGCCATTCAAAAGAAGGAGAAGCCTTTTTACAATTGATTGAAAAACTGGGTCTTAACAGAGAAAAGAGTAAATCTTACAAACCCGATGATTTGAACGGACCAAAGTTGAAGAAATTATGTGAAAATATAAACGCATTTCGACCGATTGTCAGTTCACTTGCCTACAAAAAGTTATGTGTCTGGAGCTTTTTAATGAGTTCTCGCGAACGATCGGATCTACAAAGAGCGTTCTATCGGAGAAGGAAATCCAAGTAATACTTTCGGCTACAGACAACTTACTTAACGCTATGGAATTAAACAGTACTGGGCTAAAAACTGTCAAAGTCCACGTAGCAATTGCACACATTCCCCTTTTTCTATCAACACATAAAGCTCTAGGGTCTATGTCAGAAGAAGGTCTCGAATGTCTTCATTCTGTCTTCAATCAGATATGTAAGGGTGATCTCGAAACGCGCGGGTGATCTCGAAATTTATCTTTAGGCGGCAAGAACATACTCACAACGCGTTCTACTTTTTAACAAAGATTTACTGCTCCCTTAATTAAATTTTTTTAACTGCTACTCCTATTTTTTGATGCATTTGTTTTCATAATTTTTAAATAAACGTACCTTTACACACTTTTGATCTAAACCATGGTTCTTGACATCCATCCGGTTGCTGCTATCGAAGCAAAACTAAACTTTCACGCTTAAACCACAACCACAGAAAAAACATAACCTCGTGAAATCCATATTTATGCTTGTGTTGATTGATCTGGTCATCAATGAGGTATCTGAAAAAAAAACATTTATTATGACATGAAAATGATAAAGTAAGCTCGAAAAAAGAAGAAAAACGAAATGAAAAAAAATTCTTTGCAACCGCTCTTCGTCAAATGTCATTTTTGTCTTCAAAATGTTCTAACTTTTTTGAGAGTTGACCAATTAATACGATTTTGGTCTCAAAATGACCACAGACAACATTTTGACAAAGTCTACTCCCTGGCATTTCCTCATTTTTTGTTATCATCGAGTAGTAGAGGCTCAAATGCAGGTGAGTTTGACCGTTTCTGTGTAAAAGGACCGATTTTTTTCGATAAAATGCGATTTTAAAAAATCTACAAGACGGATTTTGATACTTTTTTCACCATTGAATTCAGCACATTTTTCTGCGTCAAATGGCTATTCAAACGTAAAAATCCCATACAAAACATTTCTTGGTGTTGGGTTGTTCCATTTAAATGTTTGATATCAATGGATGCGCCAAGTCTTTTTCTATCGATTGGTAGAAAAACTATTCAAATTGGACATCTGAGCACCAAGTTATTTGAGCTCAAAGTTTGATTGTCAATGGCAAAGGGGGCGGGGCGCGTATAAAAGGTCCGTCGGCCCGCCCCTTGAATTTGATTGATTTGATTGAACAACCCGGTGTTGGATTGTTCAATTTATAAATTATTGGTATTATTGGATCCCTTTACCATTGACAAACCAACTTTGAGAGAAAAATTAAGAAATAGAAATACAATTGGTGAACTCATAGAGATAGAGCTGTTTCTTTTGCAACAGAAAATTGTTGATTATCGAATTGATCGAATCAAAGTGAAAAATGGAAGCTTTTGTTTCCATTTCTGGATCTCTCAATTAGACTGGGAAAGGTTTCGTCAAAAAATGAACAACTCAGCTATTATTTTGTCAATTATGATCAGAAGTTAACATTTTAAAATTGTGATCAGACCTTAAAATGTTTAAAAAAATCGATCTTTACGCGGTGGCACCGATTATTGGCGGGGGCGAATTTTTTTGACCAACTTCCAGCTTTTAACACCTTAAACTTTTCAGATCAGGAAGTTTTAATAAGATTTAGATAGCTTAGAACGTCAGCTTTCACAAACTATTTGTTTTATCAAAGGTTATTAACAGAAATTCGGGCTGCAAGTTGGTCAAAAACATGCCCCCCCCCCCCCCCCCCTCCGTTAACTGTAAAGGTCCAAATTTATAATTGTTTGTGTTTGTTTATAATTTATAATTGTTTATTTTCAAGTCAACCGCTTACAGACAAATCTCGAGTTCTTTTGCTCTTTATTCGACGTTTGCCAAATCGAGAATTCCTCCTGATTGGCGATATCATGGCACATCTGAAAGTGTGGTTGGATAAAAAAAAACTAACAAACTTTTTTTACACACTAGGCTTAAAACAGCTTGTGATTTTGAACAGAAAGAGTACAACGCAAATAAAGTAGTACACAGTCTTTCAGATTTCTATCCACTGAAAAGTTCGCTGTAACTTTTTGTCTAGAATTCCATGCACTTCCAAAGTACACATCCTATAAATTTAGATTCAAAAACACACATCTTATTTCTAAAATATCGACTAATCAGTCCTTTTGAACAGGTTAATGAAAAGTATGTGATTTTTTTAGTCTATTGGTGTCTGCTAGACTTCACAAACGAGATAACGAAAAATTACGGAGACAAACAGAGATTCGTTAACTGAATATCATAAAACAACGGTCTTGCCAAGCTTCTTAATGAGGCCTTGTTAGCCAAGTCTATTGGGTGAATACTCTTCTTTTAGTAGTCAAAGTTCAAGTCAGTCAAGAATTCGGCGAAATAAACCGAAACCAAGCTTCAATGCAGCTTCAGCAGAATTGATTTTCGGGATCTAAACCCAGTCGTCTCTTTCCACCAACCACCCAATGTATCTGCGTTGCCTCTGTGTAGGCAATTTCCTCGAAGTAATCGTCAGCACTTCCATCACTCCATCGCCTTTTCCCATTCTCGAAATGAAGCCCGATCCAGACGTAGAACTCGGAAGCGTTGCAGGGGTTCTCATCAGTGGAATTTTTGTTGGTCGCCTTTATATCGGAGAGAATCATTTCTAGAAACATTCAATTAAATTTTTAAATGCTTTTATTCACTGTTGACGAATGAGCGTTCCTCATTATTGTGAATGGAGACCAAATGGGCTCCTTTTTGGTCGCAAATTCTCTCGGCTTCTTGCCAAGTATAGACGATCAGATCACCGTAAACGTCGTAGTTGAAGCCCTGAGTTGATCATTCTAAGCATTAACAGTAGTGTCTGCTAGCCATGTGAATTGTCGACGTACAAAGTTAGACATGTACAAAGTCTTGACCTCAACTATTTCAAAATTTCTTCTTACCCTTCGAGCTTGAAAAAGATCTAATGGTTAAAGAAAGAAAGAAAAATTTTTAAAAGTCGATTCTAAAGAATTAAAAAGTGATTTTCGTTTATACACTTTTTGAAAAACCAAAAATGCACAAGCCTAGGGCCTACCCGATAGTAATAATAAGCTTTTGTTGGCTTGTAGTAGACCCAACTGAAAATAATGGAATAGAAATTCTTCAATTAGTCTTCTCAAACTTCTCTTTCTCCAGTTGCTGCTTTTCCTCTGTGCAAATAGCCAAGTTCTTCCTGAATTTTACTTAAAAAGAAAGAATCCTGAAACTCACGTATTGTTGAGATTTGCTTGGTTCCTATAATTTGACTTTAAACTTTTATGATGTGATCAAAAACGAACATGTTGTCTTCACATGTAGTCAGTTGTTTGGCTGCTTGAGCTTGCTCTTGTCTGGCGGCGTTTCTGAAAATCAAAGAGTTTTGGAAATGCCTTCTCTTCTTTCAGCTTTGTTTTCAATGTAGTTCTGAAAGTTTTTTATGTAGTTCTTTTCAATCTCACTTACTTCTCCTTTTCCAACACTTCATTCTTGGCTCGACAGCTTTCCAGGCTCAATTGGAGAGTTCTGAGAGATTAGTTAAATCCTTTTGGAGCAAGGGGCAGGAGGTACGTTGTGGTGTAATGGTTAGTATAGTTGCCCGGTAAGCGGGAAGGTCACGGGTTCGAGTCCCGGCGGTGCTGATTAAGTTTTTGATCTGCTCTAGTTTCAACTGGCGACCACAGCAGGATGGCCTCTGCAATGCTTGCTAAGATATGCTAAGATGCTCATACCAGGTTTCGAGCGCACCCCAGGCCTATATATCGAGACGTGTGGAACTGTCTGGAGCTAACTAACTAAGGAAGTTAACTCCCACTGAAGCAAGGGAGACTAAGTGCATTGTGGTGTAGTGGTTAGCTCGGTCCCCTGGCGAGCGAAAGCTCTCTGGTTCGAGTCTCTGGTTCGAGTCTCTGGTTCGAGTCTCTGGTTCGAGTCTCTGGTTCGAGTCTCTGGTTCGAGTCTCTGGTTCGAGTCTCTGGTTCGAGTCTCTGGTTCGAGTCTCTGGTTCGAGTCTCTGGTTCGAGTCGTGGCGCCAAGTTTTGGTCTGCTCTAGTTCCAACTGATTGGCTGAAAAATCTATAAAAAATTGGCCAGGTAAACCGTTGTTTTTTTATCTGCTTCTAGGATCATAGTAAGCTCAAACTTGATCTGCAACAAGCTCACTCACTCCTTTTCCTTACTGTTTCCCTCGTCACAAGCAGTCAGATTCGCTTTGAGAGCTTCGGAAATTTCTCTAAACAAATTGAACAAATTATTATACTAAAACCCACTTTTCCTCTTTCAGCTTTATCTTCGTTGTGTTCCTGGAAGCTGGTTCTTTTTGCTATTGCAAAGAAGAAACTCACAGTTGAAATCGGCAAAGTCTGAGTAGAGTGGACGCCTCGCTGTCGGATGAGTCCCTAGAAATGTTTAGAAATTAAGGAACACTCATAAATCTCACAAATCTCTGGTCGATCGACTCCTTGTGTGTGTGAGATTAGAGGGTTGAGAGCTGAAACTTAAAAATAATTAAAGCAACAATTTTTCTCGAACATTTTGTAGACGACAGCACTGGCAGAGACTCCAAGTAACAGTCCGAGAATAATCCCTTTGATGAAATTTGAGCGGGCAATGGGTTCATTTATACTAAAATCATATTTTGTTTTAAGCTGCCCTGACAAATCAGTCCATTCATGAACTCCTTTAGCTACAGAAGCCTATTAGAACTTACCAATCCTCAGCCATCAATGGTGAATGTCAAAATAGAGCCTTTGAACAATAAGATTTCTGTTTATTTTACGTGTACAAGGTTTCTCTGAAAGAAAATGAGTCAGAGAGTGAACTTGAAAAAACTAAATTGGATTGAAACAACAACACTGGGATCTGTGATTGATTAGTGAAAGAAAGAGCAACTGTTTCTCTTCAATTTTTATGGGAAAAATTTGGAAGAACAATTTGAAAGAATTTGGAACAATTTTCCAATGTAAAACTAGGTTCAAAATCTTTCCACACACAACTCACCTAGAGTATATACCGAGTGCTGTAGGGTAACCGCATCCATATGGTGAACTGATTCCCAAGATTGGTTCCCTCCGGCCCCTTCCCCTCGGGATTTAGGATGACCAGTGATCCAAATGGGTAGCCTTGTCTAAGGGGTTAGCACATATAAAGCGGGTAGCCTTCTACTCCTACATCGTCTCCTACATCGTCTCCTACATCGTCCCATCCTCACAAACGAAAGAATATTCCCTAGGTATTAATGTGTAAATTGTGATTATGTGTGTGCAAAATAAGTCACCGGTAACTCTGGTATACATTATTATATCTGTGTGATTCTCGGGACCAAAGTAGTCATCCAGTGTCCCGTCACTGCACTTTCTTCCCTCGTTCACCACATGAAGCCCACTCCAGGCACTTGCGCCATTTTTCCGAGAAAATCCTGGGTTGGAGCTTTAAAGCATGTTAAAACTACAGTACCCCTCCTAATTTGCGCGAAATTTCATTTTTTTCATTCTTGTTCATTTCATTTTATTCTTTTTGCGTTTTTATGATGTTCGTTTGTTTTTGCAGGAAACAAAGAGGATAAAGCTAAGTTGCTAAGTTTTTAACAGCATTTTCTGTGGCGGAAGCTTTGTTTGTAGAGTTTTTTTAGACCAACTTGCTTCCTGACGATCTACTCCACGAACTTGTTGCCAACTAATGTTAAGCTAAGTGATTTTTATCATTTTCTATGGTGGAAGCTTTGTTTTTGTTACTTCTTAGTTGAAAAAAATGTAAAAAGAATAAAATGAAATGAACAAGAATGGAAAAAAATGAAGTTTCATTTCCTATTTTTGATTTCCTAAGTTTTATATAGACTCTGAAAGTTGCGAGCGGCGCTTCCGTTGTTTTGTTGTTTTTTCGGTAGATTACAGAATGAAGCTGGTTTGATCCTCTCTTCTTATGATTCTTCAAACTTGAACGGCATGACGAGCTTTGATTGGCGCTTTCATTGCAAGAAAAACCAAATTCAGAATGATTTGCGGCAAGAATGGTGCTTTAAATACCGAAAACCATTGCGTGCCAACGAAAGTGCGACTCTCAACTTTGAAAGTCTAGATAAAAATATGTGTGCTCCAATCGACTTAAGATTGGGCACTACTACAGGAGACCTAGTCAAAATTTAACTTTTAAAAAAAGTCAGAGAAATTGGTTTGATTTTGGCTGAGCTAGACTCTTGGAAGTGTAATTATGGCACACCCGAGTTTTCGATCTTTCTAGCACTCTCTGTGCAATTAGTATAAAATCAAACAAATTGGATCTAATAATTGGACTAATAATTACTCTAGTGACTAACGTGGGTAGCTCTCTTTGATTAGTTGGTCTGGTTCTCTTGTTTTCCGGTGATTGGTGGGATCCCGCTTGAACCGCTTCACGAACTTGCCAAGTTGCCAGGTGCCAAGGTCGGAGCGAACCATGCTCTGTTCTATCAACGACAACAAGCTGTTCTTCCCGAAGAACACGTGCTCAAAGCTAGGTGAGCATAAGAGCGTAAAAAGATTGTTTAACCTATTTGAATCAATAGATGAAGGTCGAGATTAATGCGTTTGTCATAGGCAATGTTTGAAGATAACTCTAATTTTTTCTTTGCTTTAGTACTATTGACTCAAACTTGTGGCTTTAACCTTTTTAGGTTTCCAGAGATAAAATGAACCTTGTCATTTCAACAAAAAGTACGAGATCACAATGAAGGTTGTAAAAAGTTTAATAAAACAAATTGGACCTAATAATTAATGTGGTAATTAACGTTGGTAGCTCTCTTCGATTAGTTGGCTCTCTTTGCTTAGTTTAACTTCTAAACGGTAAATCTCTGTAACCTTTGTCAACATTAGACTTAGACAAATTGCTGAGCTTTATTAAGTCATTTCAAGGCTTTCTATTGTGGCTGCAACTTTCTTGTCTCGAAATAGTCGAAATCGCTTCTCATTATCGGGCATCTTGTCAACAAGGGGTTTTCCTCGAGTTTCCGGAATCGTCAGCGTGAAAACTATGAGATCAATGGAGACACTCGCGAGCATGATCACTGTGGGAAGCCATTTTCGATCACCCGACTAAAATTTTTTAATTATACTTAATTCTAGTTTTAAAATGATCTAATGAATAGGTTAATCCCTTAAACATTAGTTTCACTTTTTAAAGCATTAAGAAAAACTTTAAATAAATAAACTATAAGAAAGTGAAAACGTTAACTTTTTAAAGCGTTTTACGCTGAAAAATGAAAACAACTGAATCAAAAAATTTAAATCACAGTCAGAATTGGAAGAAGTTTTAGAAAAGAATGGTTTAAAGACAAGCCAGGGTTGTTCAAAAGTATTTTTTTATCAGGCTAGATCCAGATTGAACTAGATTAGAGCCTGGCTTTGTAAAGAATGTTTCAAAGTTGACAAATTGTATAGATTAGATGCATAAAGCAAAGCAAACTCACAATAGAGTAAAGGTGTGGAGCAAGAATCGGCCCGATACTCTCAATGAACATTGTAAACGCGAAGGCTGTGTTCCGCAGTGCTGTCGGAAACGCCTATTGTTTATAAACTTTCAAATTGGAAAGTAAAAAAAGGTAAATCTAGAGTTGAATCTAGAGTTGAATCTAGAGTAATGACAATTACTCTGTACTAGTATAAGTATCATTTTACCTCGTTGCAAATGATGCCTAACACGGCGAAAAGTTGAATGATGATAGCGGCCGTTGTGAGCAGAAAGATCCGAGCAAGAAACTCAGGAGCATCTGGAAAAGTATTAATATTGGGTTGGTGAATTGAAAACTGCCGGCTATTGTCATATGTCGCAGTTTGAGCACTTTCTTCAAAAGAAACCCATTTTGGTGTCAATGGAAAAGTTGTAGAGAATCAAAAATTAAGCTTATAGCCAAATTTTCAGAACGATTCAAAAACTAGTTTTCAAGAAATGCCAAATTTACGAATTTTCACAAAACTTGCATTTTAAGCGAAACTACTAAGTGTATCTTTTTGGAAATTTGGCTATAAGCCTAATTTTTGATTCTCTACAACTTTTCTATTGACACCAAAATGGGTTTCTTTTGAAGAAAGTGCTGAAATGCTCAAACTGGGACATCTCCAGTCCTCCATTTTTGAGTCTCACACTTGTCTCACACACAAACCAAAATCCTACTACGAAAGAGGAATCCGAAAATCCGCAAATTGCCTGTAAAATGGGCAGAAGTCGTCAATAATAATGGAAATTATTTGGAATGAATTCATGGTTTTATGTTGAATAAATTTTAGTTCAAAGTCCGGCAGTTTTCAATTCGCCAACCCAATAGTATACTTTTTTTTATTGTCAAACTTTCGTCTCTTTACAAAATATTATTTTCTTGAATAACTAACCCAAAAGCTGGCCGGCTATCGAGATTGATAAGGCGATCATTGTGGCCACACAAAAGAAACGGTGAGTCGTCTGAAATTATCAATAATCAACAAAAAAAATGACAACTAAATAGCCAAAGAAATTAACTAGCCTAAAAACGAAACAAACTCACCTTCCTGCCTAGCCAAGTTAACTTGTACTCGGCGAACGCTGAGAGCAGGTTGAACGCGTAGCGCACAGTGCCGACGATGAGCAAGTTCTGATACATCGATCCGGTGATCTTCTCCAAGTTAAACAACAACGAGTAGCTTATAAAGCCGGCTTCAAAGCTGAATTGGTAAATTTTCGATAATCGACAGTTTCTACTTGCTAAAGCAGGTAGCTAGCGTTAAACCGATGAGTTGAGGAGTGCAAAAGAGGTGAAGAAACGAATAGGATTCCACCGTTACTTTCTTAAGTTCATTGAGATATCAAATCATAAATATAATCATAATCATAAAAAACTAGATCACAAAACTAGCAATAGCTAGTTAAATTTATTTGTGTTTTAGAGAAAAATATTCTTGGTTAATGAGTGAAACCTCTTGGCTTTCGTTTTCGTCTCGAAACACCTCCTCCAACTCTTTCAAATCGAGCTTCTCATTGTTTATCTATAAATTCCATTTTTTATTGTATTAGGTACATGCATAAGAAATGTGGATTTCAACATTTTCATAGATTTCCAATGGTAGAAACCTGAAGTCGATGAATGTTATAAACTATTTGAAAGTTGTAAATCTCCTCTACAAAATAGGCTAAAACGTGTTTCAATTGATCGAACCATTGAAGAAATTTCGAGGGCCAAATTCGAGTGACCAAAAAAGGAATTGAGTCACTTTAGGGACAAGTTTAGTGTGGTCAAAATGCCATCATGCCCCATGACCTCAATAACCCCCAGAAGTGGCAGACATATTCGTCATGTCATGCTTCATGAGTTCCTACAAGAGCATAGTGCGGGCTTGGCAGCTGCTAATATTAAAAAGATATAAGAAAAAGGTATCCTTTTTTTATAAAGCTTCAATTTTGGGAAGCTAACTCTATTTTGAGCACACTAAACTTGTCCCTAAAGTGACTCGATTCCTTTTTTGGTCACTCGCATTTGGCCCTCGAAATTTCTTCAATGGTTCGATCAATCGAAACACGCTTTAGCCTATTTTCTAAAGAAGATTTACAGCTTTCAAATAGTTTATAACATTCATCGATATCAAGTTTCTATCGTTGGAAATTTATGAAAATGTTGAAATCCGCATTTCTTATGCATGTACCTAATAATTTTACTTTTTGTTACTTTATGAAATCGTCTGATCACTTCAATCGATTTTTCCGGTTTACCACTTCGCAGCAAGTAATGTGGCGTCTCGTCGAGATAGCACATGATTAACATGGCTGGTAGGGTGATCACGCTGATCACAATCGCGAAAACTCGCCACGTTTGAGAGAAATAGGCTAAATAGTTAATAGGAAGTAAGAATTTTTTTTTTTCCTTTCAACCTATGGTGGTGACCACCAAAAGATTTGGTGACCAGTTGAGAATGTAGGCTAAGATAAGCCGATGTCGGGACGGGAAAAACTCGCCGAAGAACGTGTTGGCAACTCTAAATACAGGATGGCTGCAAATTATCGCCTCGCAGCTTTTGGGCTTGATCTTGGCTATAGCTTCGCGAGCTGGTTTAATTCCTTTTTAATATGAAAAATGCGATAGTTTTCTGTGGAGCATTTCTTTTATACAAATTATAGGATGCTTTTAAGGTTTTTATTAAAGGCTTGGAAGGTGCGCTTAAGAAAATTCTTGGTGCACAACATTATTCAAGCTTTTTCTAATTAACTTTTCTTTTCTTTTCAAACTGAAATCACTTTTCTCTCTTTTTTTAATAAATTTAAGCCTAAAGAGTAACATTTGAATAATTCTTTAAATTAACTTTGTTAACTTTAATTTAACCGATGAAATTTGCCAGTTTCAAGAAAAATTCATCTTTAAGAAGCTGATTGATTCATCCAGAACTCATAAAAACATTACATGGTTAAAGGCTTTTGTTGAAAAATATTTGTTTTAAGCTTTTTAACTAGAAAAGAGTCAAACAAATCATGTGAGAGCCCTTAAAATCTGTTCATGAAAAGCTGTAGATTGAGTCGCGTATCAAGCGGTTTTTTTGGGTGCATCTTTCAAGCCTTTAATATTAGGTACTTGCAAAAGAAACTGCGGGTCATAAAAACGATCATACAACGACTGTAAGTAAAAATGATCCGGATTGGTTAGTATTTTTAGAAACCCCAATAGCTTCACTTTTTAACGATATAAAAAGAATTCTATAATAATTGTTTCTGAGCGGAATATAGACGTTTTAAGAAGGTACCAAACTTGGCGGCGGCTTAAAACTTATAATAAAGGATTATTTTTGACAAAATCCTGGTCAAAAGTTCTTGTTGTTGTTGTTGTTGTTGTTGTTGTTGTTGTTGTTGTTGACAAGTTGTTGTTGACAAGTTGTTGTTGACAAGTTGTTGTTGACAAGTTTTTTTTTTTTTTTTATTTTGTTTGTTGTTGACAATTTTTTTTTAAATTTTTTTAAATTTTTTTTTAAATTTTTTTTTAAATTTTTTTTTAAGTTTTGGTTTAGTTGATATTTTTATTTAAAGAAAAAGTTGTTGACAAAAAGTTGTTGACAAAAAGTTGTTGACAAAAAGTTGTTGTTAAAAAGTGTTGGGAAAAAGTTTTTGAAAAAAGGTGGTGGAGAAAGGGGGGGGTTGAGGTTGTTGGTAGGGGGGGTTGTGGGGGTTTTGGTGGGGGGGGTGTGGGGGTTGTTGACAAGTTGTTAACAGATTAGAAGCCCAAATTTAACAAAAGCTATTTACAGAAAACTAAAACAAATTTGGTGGAATATTCCTTTCAAAAGAAAGTTTCGTAAAATTCTTTTTATATCATTAAAAAAGAGAAGATATTGGAGTTTCTAAAAATACTAATCAACCCGGATCGGATTACTTACAGTCGTTGTATAGTGGCTTTTTTTAACCCGCAATTTCTTTTGCAAGTACCTAATAAAAATCCCAAAAGCATCCTATAATTTGTATAAAGAAATACTTCATAGAAAATTATCGCAATTTTCATATTAAAAAGGAATTAAACCAGTTCGCGAAGCTACGGACAAGATAAACCCCAAAAACTAAGTTGTAAGTTGGACAGAACATCAATTATTGTAACCTCTATGAATTTCTCAATTATTGTAACCTTATAACTGTTTTCAAATGAATTTTCATGTAGCCTTTTATGCTATTAGATAGCTTTGATTATCTATTTTCTTTAGAAAATAGATAACGACGGTAAAACAATTGTTAAAGTTGAATTGAATTGAAGTTGAAGCTTATAAGTGTAGTACACTCATACAGCTAGTATAAGTGCTCAACTCACATTCCACTGCCGATCACGAAAAAGGAGACAAGCGTTCGCAGAATGGTAAACATGCGAATATCGTGGGTGAAAACAGATGCGATCCCGAGGAGTCCCGTGAAAATCAAAGAAATGATCATTGATCGTTTTCGCCCAAAACGGTCAGCAGCTCGACCCCAAGCAATCGATCCCACCAGAAAGCCGATCATCTAAAATTTATAAGAAGCTTTTTGATTTTTTTAAACTCTTTTAGCTTCTTTAGCTAACTTCTTTAGCTAACTTCTTTAGCTAGCTTCTTTAGCTAACTTCTTTAGCTAGCTTCTTTAGCTAACTTCTTTAGCTAACTTCTTTAGCTAGCTTCTTTAGCTAACTTCTTTAGCTAGCTTCTTTAGCTAACTTCTTTAGCTTCTTTAGCTAACTTCTTTAGCAGCTAAGTTGTCAACGATTATTTTCTTGCGCATGTTACACATAGGAAATGGAAAAAATAAAAATTTCAATCATTACAAGTTGTTCTAACAAGGAGAATACTTAGGGTCATTATGGAGTTTTGACTAGCGCCTTGGCCCATAGTTATAAAATACAGTTTATTTCATTTTTAGCCTTAAAGAGATATGGTGAAAACTTTTAAGCTCAATATCTTACGTTTGTAGGCCATTGAACAAAAAGCTCGGGAGGGGATTGAGCTCGGGAGGGGATTGAGCTCGGGAGGGGATTGAACCCTTGACCTTTTTGCTTTCCGGGCAGATGCTGTAACCACAGAGCTATCCGGTATCTTTTAGAAAGTAGAGAAGAAAGAGGAAATACAAGGGAGAAGAAAAAGGAAGAAAGATAAGGAAATACCCGGTTCTTCGCAATCGTGAGCTCCTATTTGAAGATCAAAACACGAGCATTAGTAATAAAGTAAGGAATGTCAATGAAAGATTTCTGGAGAGGGAGATTGAACCCTCGACCTTTTTATATTACTCTATTATAACGGCAGATGCTCTATTATAACATTGTAACGTTTGTATTATAACGTAAAATATAATAAAGACAAATTTAAGGTATCAAACCTGATAAGATGTGCTGTCTTTGACTTCTTTCTTCAGATCACAGAGCAGATTCCACTAAACACACAAAGCTTTTGTAGAAAGCTTTTTTATTTGAACTTACTTCAACGTTCACGGAATAAAAATCATGCTGTAGAGCCGGATTTGTGCAGTTCCCTGTGTTAAACTGTGAACAAAATCCATCATTGAGAAACGTTTCGCGGGTCGTTACGAGGCTGCCATCTTTGTCACAAGTGATGATCAAAGCATCAGCACCTAAACTGCAAAGTAATTCATTATCTAAACACAAATTCAATTCACAATTCAATTCACTGTTTCTGCATTCATTTATAGTCTTTATTTTGCTATTTTTAGCTTTATTTTGCAATAAAAATCCATCAAAATAGCATAAACTCCAGAACTCACCAGCAAAAACCATAAACAACAAGTTTCCACATTCAGCCACCATCACAAGCTGTAAATTTCTGTAATTTATTGATGTTAAATTGTTATTTATTAAAAACTACACAAATTATTGTGTAATTAACAAATTTAGCAATCAACCTCAATGAGAATCGCCGTTAAAAAGCCATATCGTCCAAATAACAAAAAATCGTCGATGCATTTCTTCTCGGGCATAACTAAAAGTTATAAATATTGATAACTTACAGTTATTCAGTTATTTGCGTTTCATTGGCAAAACTTGGCAAAACTCAAATGGTTTTGGTTAGAAACAAGAAATTCGAGAGCATGCTTAATCGAAAATTGAGCGGTATATTCTATAAATTGAACGGCATAACTAAAAGTTTTAAATATTGATAACTTACAACTAAATCCTAAAAAGAAAAAGATTATCTTTACGAGATATTGATAAATTATTGGGGAAAAACCCGTTCCCAAATTCACACATCGCGTGTCTTTTTGCTTCCTTTTCCTTTCTTTTCGCTTTCTTTCGTTCTTTCGATCGTTACGCGATCTCAAGTCTTTTACACTCGAAAAGTATCTTTTTCTTTTCTTTTCTTTCTTTCTTTTCTTTCTTTCTTTTCTTTCTTTCTTTTCTTTCTTTCTTTCCTCTCTTTTCTTTCTTTTCCTTCTTCTCTTTCTTTCTTTTCCTTCTTCTCTTTCTTCTCTTTCTTCTCTTTCTTTCTTTCTCAAAATACATAAACTTGCAAAGAGCACGAAAGGTTGTGAATTGTGGTCAGTTATTTGCAACTTTCATTGGCATATTATTTCATTGGCAAAACAAGCAAAAGTTTTCATATTATTTCATTAGCAAAACTTGGCAAAACTCAAATGGTTTTCGTTAGAAACAAGAAATCCAAGAGCATGCTTAATCGAAAATTGAGCGGTATATTCTTAAAACGAATCCTAATTGAATGTCCATAGGTAACGGGTTTTCTCCTTCAAAAATTAACCATATTTTCAAGCTTTTTGAAGTAGTCAATCCAACAATGCAAACTGAAATTGCGACTAAAACATTAAAAGAACAAACTTTGAGTTCCCCGGCCGGGGACTTTGAGTTCCCCGGCCGGATGCATGACCCCCTATTCACAAAATCATCAAAAAAATTAACTTTTTGTGTGGCGCCTGAGGCAAAATCAATTCTGACACCACGATGAACCTTAAAAAATGAACGAGAAAATTTTTCCAGACTCAAACCGATGACCACCTTTTTTCCGGGCACTGATATTTCGTAGCCGATTTTGAATGAGTGGTTCTAGGTTCTCAATGAGTGGTTCTCAGCCATCAAATATTTAGTATCATTCATATTATTATATAAAAATAGATATTATAGAAGAATAGAAGAATAGAAGACCAAAGCTGGGAAAATTAGGCGATAGCGTGAGAGAATCAGGCGATAGCATGAGAGAATCAGGTCTCTAAGGTGCGGAGCCATAGGCTAGGAATATTATAGGCGCCTACAATTCTATATTTCTATTTTTCATAGAAAAATAGAAAATTCGGACGTCCGAATCCGAACATAATGATGATCGTGTTCGAATTCGGACATCATGTTCGGATTCGGATGAATAGAATGAATGTGAGAGATTCGGCGCCGACTGCTGAGCGAAATGATGTCTCCTTGAGCAGGGATTGCTGTTGTGACATCGACTGTTGCACAAAACGTTCGACTTGAGGCATACGCATCGACCATTTACGCAACCATTTGTACAATTACAGTGCTTGTGCCCTAAACAAAAGCAATTAAACAAATGCTACAAAAAATACCTTGAGATCCGGTGAGAGATTCGGCGCCGACTGCTGAGCGAAATGATGTCTCCTTTTGTCCGTGTCCATGATCCTTGTGTGTTTTCATCAACAGTTCAAAGAGATTTTCCTTGATGATCACTCGTTTCATTTCTCCGGTTCTTCCAATGTTGTAGATGATGTCCAGATCGTTCTCCTTTTGCAAAGTAAAGCGCGCCAACAAATTGATTTCTTCAGGAGTCCTTTTTCCTTTTGTATCTTCGGAACATGACGACTTTTCGGATTCAAACGTAACAAATATACTGCATAGAGTGCATAGAGTTCCCTTTCTTTAGTTGACTAGCCACTAAGCATTGCCTACATACATTAAATGATATCTTAATTGAATAGCCCCGGGTGTGAGTGTTATAATGACAATAATGAGTGTTTAAGCCTAAGCCTAGTCACATAAAAGTGGGGTAGCGTGAAAAGGGAGAACATCGAACTCTATGAACTCAACTCTAGGGATTCTGCTATGCAAATGATTCTATCTATGCATTCTAGGAACTCTGCATTTCGCTATCCCTTCTATACTTTCTATGAACTTTATGCATTTCGCATTTCTTTAATAAGTCAACTGTTCGATGTGGTTACAGCGAAATGCATAAAGTTCATAGAAAGCTTTGATCAGCTTTGATCATCAGCTTTGATCATCAGCTTTGATCATCAGCTTTGATCATCAGCTTTGATTGCCACAAGCGATTGCTACAATTGCTCATAGATTGCTACACTGCTACATAGAATTGCGATTGCTCATAGATTGTTACAAGCGTTACTTAAGCCTCAATAAAACTCACGTGTATCACCTTCTTGTTGCTCTTTGTCTCGAACATCTTCGCTTTCTGGCATCTCGTCACATGAAATAATCAAAAAATTAAGAAAAAAGCTAAATCTAAAATAACCATGAGTACAGCGTGTTTTTTAAGAAATTGCGTTGTACTCACCATCTTTTACAGCCCAAGCAAGCGTTTATAAAAAGCATGATAAGGGCTAGTTTTCTTGTTGCTGTTTTCTTTTAGATAACTTGCATTTTTTTTATTTTCTATTTAAGCCCTTTTTTTATACTTTTCATTAACTTTTAATACTTGAATAGAAACTATAATAGAAAAGTAACAAAAAAAAGAGTCAAGACCTGTAAGTTAGCCTTTTGCGAGCTTTTCTCAAGAAAAATGTCTTAAAGATTTGTCGTATGGGAAACCCTCGGGATTTATTATACTACAATATTAAATCTCTCTGAGGCTTTAAGTCAAATTTTATTGGGTTGTCCAGTTATGAATGCGCGTTTTTTACTATTTTGTAAATTTCTCATGATACCGAAATCGAGAAAAAGATATATATGAGTATTATTCGAAAGCTGAAGATCTCCTCTACATTTTGGAATAAAAAGTTTTTGAATTTGTTCAGTTTTTGGGCAAATTGACTGCACAGAAGAAGAGGTGGCCAAAAAATGGAAGGGTGCCTTTGGATCAAGTTTTGGCTCCGCTCAAATTGAGTTAACCGTTTGATGTTTGGCCAATAGATATATCAATACAACTTTTTTAAAAATATAATGATTTCAGAGCATCTTTACTTTTCTTTTCTTTTCTGGGCGGTTATTTTACACCATAAAACTTGAGGAATAGCTACGCTGGAGTGGGTTTTTTCGAAAACGACCTCTCCCTTTGTGCAGTCAATTTCCCAAAAGCTGAACAAATTCAAAAACTTTTTTATTCCAAACTGTAGAGGAGATGTTCAGCTTTCGAATGATATATAACACTCATATACATCTGTTCGATATCTTGAGAAATTTACAAAATAGTAAAAAACGCGCATTCATAACTGGACAACCCAATAAAAAGCCAAGAATCTGGATGATAAAATTGAATCAACTGTTTGATGTGTTGTAAATCAATTTTTATCATTTATGGATCCAACTTTTTTACAGATACGGTATCTCTTCGGTCTTGGAATATTCGAAATCGTTTCTCGTTGTCGGGCATTTTGTCGACAAGGGGTTTTCCTCGAGATTCAGGAATAGCAAAAAGCAAAAACGATGATATCGGCAAAGACCCACGCGAGCATGATTACAGGTGGAAGCCATTTGTGGCTTCCTGACTAAAAGAGATGTTTGAAAGAGATCTTTTTGACTAAATAAAATATTTAGCTTATAAGCTTATAAGCTAAATAAAATAAAGATTAATTAATCGCATTAGGGGCCCCACCACTGAATAGAGATGCGGGGCGAGAATCGGAGCGATACTTTGAACGAACTGCGTGAAGGCATACGAGGTATTTCGAAGGGCCGTTGGAAAGATCTAAATTGAAAAAAACAGGCTTACTTGGAAAAACACAACAGGCTTGCTTGGCTATTAAACAGCAAACAGGCTATTAAACAGCCGAATGCTTGCTAAAAAGCTAACCATTCGGCTGGAAGCTTTGGCTGACAAAACTTGGAAAACTTTCTAATGTTTTTATCGAATGCTATCGAATAAGTTTCTGTTAACAAGTTTCTCTCTATGTTAAAAACTATCAAATTGTATTAGCATAAAGAATTAGACAATTTAACCCATTGCGCACCGGATGAGACTCTAAAGTACGAGTTCGGGTAATGCCGCACCATGTAGCTTGATACCGCACCATGTAGATTTTCTCATGTTCTTTAAAATACTGTCTAAAATAGTTGAAAAATCAAAGGACCTCTCGAATAGAAAATCCCTTTCGAGAGCGGTCGAAAAATAAAAGATCCGGATCTTATTCGATCTTATAAAAGATCTTATTAGAATACAGGATGCATCATAATTATGGGCTCAGATAAATCAGTCGGTACTAATCAAGTCACCCAAAGATATCGAAAAACAAGTCACCCAAAGATGACAAAGTTTTTCTAACAATCTTTATTTATATGTTAACAAGTGTAAAACTCAAATTTCAAAAACTCCTTCGTCAGCGTCTCCGCTGTGACGTGACGTCAGCTTCAAGACATGACCGGAAGGCGTCAACTGTCAACGTCAACGGCAACTGTGGCACGCAAGTAGACAACATCGTCCTATGGTTTAAGGAGCGCTTTCTTTCAACTGTTCAACATCGAACAGTCAACTGTTCGATGTGGTTACAACTCCTTAACTTCTAGGCTTAGGAATTCCCATTTGGCCGACTGATCGCTTCGGGTTACAACGCAATCTCTCTCGCACTTTTTTGATGTTGGACTGAATCACTACAGAACACCGTTTTCCTCGACCAGCTCTATCAGCATTTTTTCCCAATTCCTTGAAGCGTTTAATCTTCTTGTCAAAATCCCAAATTTTGAGAAATTGCACGTGTCAAAAAGCCCGCGTCGATGCAACGCTTTGATCGAGTTCCGATGAGCACTCTAAAATCTAAATCTGGTTTGACCATCTCTAAAAAAAGGCCCATAATGATGACGCACCCCGTAATTACGTTAACTGGTTTGTCTGCAGAAATGTAACCCTCAACCCAAACTACATTAAATGGATCTGCTCAAGAACTGCTCAATGGCCAATGCTGCTCAATGGCTCAATGGCTGCTCAATGGCTCAATGGCTGCTCAATGGCTCAATGGCCTCAATGGCTCAATGGCTGCTCAATGGCTGCTCAATGGCTCAATGGCTTACTAGGTATGATTAGTTTAGAAAATTGTACCTAAAACCAATTATGAAATGCATAATAAACCCTTGAATTATTATCATAATCGTAATTCTTTATCCACTCAATTCAAACCTCATTACAAATGATGCCAAGCACGGCAAAGAGCTGCACAACGATGGCGGCTGTAGTTAGGAAGAAAGATTCGGGAAAATAAACTTGGAGCATCTAAAATATTATAAGCTTTTATTTTAATTATTTCAGAGTTAGTGCAAAAAAACTCTCTTTGTTCCAAACTCCAAACCTTAACTGTTTCAGAGTTAGTTCAAAAAGAAAAACAAATTTTCTTCTACAGGGTGCGTCATAATTATTGCAACAAGAGTTCAAAGACCGTTTTCCAAACAGCTTTCTTATTTTTTTTGCCCCCTTTTTTGTTGTGTTGCGTTCTATCTTCTTTATTCTTGCCTAATTGCCTCCCGCTCACACGAAGAAGACGGTTCAGGACTGGTGTGGCCAACTTTCCCTCAGTGATTACCAAGGATGAATGGCCTCCAAACTCACCGGATCTCAATGTGATGGACTTTTCCATTTGGGCAATCTTAGAGGCTAATGTCTGCTCTTTGACCTTCAAGAAGTCTTTGACCATTTGAGTCTTTGACCAAAGGATGGAAGGCGACTCCTCAAGATGACATTCGGGCCGCAGTGGAGGCATATCCGAACCGATTAAGGGCTGTTATCAAGGCAAAAGGCGGTCATATCGAATGATCTCTTGTTTCCTTATTTGTTACTGTTAAATAAAGCTATTTCTGTTTAAAAATCTTCTTCAAGTGAAACTTCTTGGTGTGCAATGCCTTGAGTATCTTGTTGCAATAATTATGACGCACCCTGTATGTATTGGGTTGATGGAAAAGTCCTTTCCGATTTTTTGGGAGAGCATCTTAAATTTGTCGAATTTTGACGTTTCATAGCTCATCCTAAAGCTGAATTCAAGACGGATCGATTGGTAAAAACCGTTTTGAGATATCTCTTTTCTAAAAGTTTTTACAGCTATTTTAGTAAAGGGCAGCAGAGCCAAAAAATGGCTGTTTTCACGTTTCGTTAGTTTTCCGTGCAGAAACCTAGGCTAAAAACATGTGTTTCGTGATCAGCGTCAAAAATAACCCCTAGACACGCACGCTCTTATTAATGTACACTACTGGACAATGAAATATCATATTTGAAAAAAGATCGTCACGTTCGCTTCGTCTGTAACTTCCTTGTCTTTGCGTTTAAACTATTAGTGTTATAGATTTTCTGAAAGCTCTTTTAAGGGCTACACAATGGTAATATTAATATTTAGAAATACAGTAAAGACAAGGGAGTTACAGACGCGCGAAAGTGACGATCTTTTTTTCAAATATGATATTTCATTGTTCAGTAGTGTATTAGGTTGATGCAAAAGTCTTTTTCATTTTTTTCGTACTTCCGTTAAAAAGTAACAAATGCACCAATTGAACAACGGTTTATTGCATTCGAAAGGCCAATTATTTTTCTGCAAAATGACATTAAAACGAGTTTAAAATGTCTTATGTCTAGATTTTTTTGAGAGCCTGAAGTCGGGTAGTCAAAAAAGGCGACGGCTCGATGATGCATTTTAGACGCTTTAGCTAAGGAAACCAATCTTGATGTTAATAAATAAAAGATAGAGCACAAAAAGTTAGATATTTTTTCAGATTTTCAGAGAAATTGATTCAGCCAATTTCTTTATAGAGGTTTTTATAGATTTTTATGAAAAACCCGTTTTCACTCTCGAATTTGCTTGAAAGTGAACCCAAATTGACTTAAAAAGATGGGAAATTCAACAATAAACACTTTTCATTTAGAGCAAACCATAGGTTAATTGATGACTTTGTCATTTTTCAAAAGAAGTACGAAAAAAATGAAAAAGACTTTTGCATCAACCTAATACATTAATAAACTTGAGAGTACGTTACGTACGTTTTGTGTACGAAAAAGACTACAAAAGAGTACGTTTTGCGATCAAATTTGATCGGTGAGAAGTTTCAGATATTGAGAAAACTTGGATAAAACTTTAATTAGTTCGATGTGTTTCGTGATCAGCGTCAAAAATAACCCCTAGACACGCATTTTCAGAATCTTAGCAAAAGCAAAACCAGAAAGGACTTTTCCACCAACCCAATACTTACTTGTGAGATCTCCAATCATCGAAGCAAACAAGAAAATCATGGTGATAACGCAGAAAATGTGATGACTTATCTAGAATCAAGATTACTTACGATTTTCTTAGAAAGCTTAACTTTTCTTCCAAGCCATTTGAATCGATATTCAGCTAAGGCGGAAACTAGATTAAACCCGTAGCGAAAAACTCCGACAATGATTAGATTCTGATACAACGAGCCAGAAACCTTTTCCAAATTGAAAAGCAGTGAGAAACTGATGAAACCAGTTTGAAAGCTTAATTTTTTGAGTTTTGATATCCAAAAAAGCTTACTTGCTAAGACACAGTGCTACTGTATACGCAATAAGTTGAGGGGTGCAAAAGAGATGAAAAATAGAGTAGGCTTCTGTCTTTGATTTCGTAGCTTCTGTGTCCTGAAGGTAACAAAGTGAAAAGCAGCTTTGTTAATACATAAACATCTTGCTAATAGATAAACATCTTGCTAGTACATGCAGCTAATACATACAGCTAGTACATACAGCTAGTACATACAGCTAGTACATACAGCTAGTAAATACAGCTAGTACATGCAGCTAGTACATACAGCTAGTACATACAGCCAGTACATACAGCTAGTACATAAGTGAATTGTAAACACTCACAAGTGCCAACCTCAAGCTGTTGTTTCTTCTCTCGAAACACCTCGCCAAGTGCTTTAACATCTACCTCATGTCTGTTTATCTAAAAACTTGATTTTAAGAGTCACTAATGACAAAATACGTTATGTATCCGCTCGAGAACTTTCATCGACTCGTTGGGTTTTCCGTTTCTCAACAAAAGTGCGGTGTCTCATCTAGAAAGGCCATAATGAGACTGGCCGGTATGGTGGCCACACTGATGATGATGGCGAAAGCTCTCCACGAATGTGAAACATATGCTGAAAGTTTTGCTAATACGGTTAGATCAATAAAAATCGTGTTAATAAGTTTACAAACAGTTTACTATAATAATGCTATCTTTATTCTTTTAATATGTACTCTAGAGTTGTTCATTTTCGGTCTGATTGTCAATAGGTGTCAATAGGTGTCAATAGGTGTCAATAGTGTCATAGGTGTCAATAGGTGTCAATAGGTGTCAATAGGTGTCAATAGGTGTCAATAGGTGTCAATAGGTGTCAATTGGTGTCGACAGGTGGCCACTTAACCGCTAATTTTTCAGAAGTTTTTAGACCAAAAGATAGAACTTCGAAAATTCTATTTTTGTGTTGCACGAGATCCTGAAAAAGTTACCGTTGATGTGGTCAAATCTTGTTTTTCCGTCGGACGCCTATTGACAATTAGACCGAAGATGAAGAGCTCCTAATGTACTCAGTGCCACTACTGTAAAGAAAGGGCTAGTTGTCGGAGGTAAGAGACTGACTATGTATAAGCTTTTACCAGCTTTTTTTTTCTTTTTGACAGTTTTAAAATCTTTCAAAGCCAATGCATCTAGAAAACCCGAAAGATCTGAATTGTAAATGGGATTTATTCAAGAAATAGGTTCTAGTTCTAGTTCTAGCTCTAGTTCTAGTTCTAGTACTAGCTCTAGTTCTAATTCTAGTTCTAGCTCTAGTTCTAGTTCTAGTTCTAATTCTAGTTCTAGTTCTAGTTCTAGTTTAAAAATCATACCTATCCCTGTGACAACAAGAAGATTTGGTGACCAGTTGAGGATAAACGAGACCCTGCCGATACCGAGAGGGGAAAAACTCACCGAAAACGTGTTAGCCACTCTGAAAAGCACATTTTTCTAATAACAAAAGACACTCACATTCCCGTACCGACCACAAAAAACGGAGCCAAATGTTCGTAAAATAGTGAAAGTTAGCAAGCTATTTGCAAAAGCCGATGCAATGCCGAAGAGACCGGTAAATATCAATGTGACGAGCATGGCTGGGCGATGACCGAAACGATCCGAGGCTCGACCCCAAATGACAGAGCCCAGCAAAGCGCCAATCATCTAAATTAGAGTTGATGAATAAATAATTACCGTAAATATGTAAATGCTGTATTAGAATGACACCTCACTTACTTAATATTACTTCATAGTTTTTTTGGGAGTATTGCATTATAGTACCCCCCGCTCCATTGCGAGAAAAGGAACCAAACAGATGCATTATCGCCCGGGTATGTTAGTATTACCACCCACCAAACATTGCATTATCCAAATCACCCCACCTTTCTTTTGCTGGGCGCCAGGGCGATAATGCATCTCCAGAATAGCCCCACTAAAAGACCGACAAGCTTTTGAACGGCAAATATCAAAGAATAAGTCATGCCATGCAAATTTGACCGTTTCCCTGCCGTTGCCCCTGCGAGGCTACCCTTTTGTGGCTATTTACCCTTTTGGCTATTTACCTAGGCCTTTATAGTACGTCGAAGTTCTGAGGTACCAACCTCTCAGCAGAATCGCTGCTTGACCGGATTTGCACATATTTTAAAGCATTTCCCGCTTCGTATTTACTCATTTTTGCTGTTGATTAAGAAATAGAATTATTTGGAGCATTTCACATCGGAAGATTTTCAATAATTTCAAAATTTTAAAAGCCAATCGTTTGCCAATCGTTTGAAAGCCTGAAACCTGAAGCAGAGCAGCGATACTTTTGTGAGCCGTACTGGTCATTTGAGTAAAAAAATAAAATGATATTTTCTAATAGAATGATACCCTAGGGGATATTGAAAAATAGAATGACATGTCATTCCTAATACAGCATTTACGGTATATGGCTTCAAAGTTGATTGGGGCTGTCGGGTCGCGATTTTGTTTCTATCAAGTCGCGATGTTTGTTCCTACTATGCCTACATTAGCATAATTCGGTTCTTGTAAAGATCACGACACTTTTGAGAGTTTACGAGGTTTTTGAAGTCTTTCGGGTCATTTCTTTGAGTTTGAGCTTATTTTTTGAGCTTTTTACGTCGATTCAACGCTTTGATCGAGTTCCGATGAGCACTCTAAAATCCGTAATGATCCGTAGTGGTGATTCGAGTAAAAAATAAAACGATATTTTCTAATAGAATGCAGAACCCTAGGGGGTTATTGAAAAATAGAATGACATATCATTCTAATTTACAACATTTACGTAATTTTAACCAAGTAAAGTTAATGTGTTTCCTAAAGTGTCCCCAAAATAAGAAAAAATTTCAAGCTATTCAACTATTGGGTTGTCCAGTTATGAATGCGCGTTTTTACTATTTTGTAAATTTCTCAAGATATCGAACAGATGTATTAGGTTGATGCATAAGTCTTTTTGTTCTTTTTCGTCTGCCGTTTCAAGCCAACAAATGCACCAATTAAACTACGGTTGATTTCATTAGAAAAAGCAATTATTTTTCTGCAAAATAACATTAAAACGGGTTTAAAAATATTTAATGCCTGGATTTTCTTGAGAGTATGAAGTTGGGTAGTCAAAAAGGGCTAACTCGATGATGCGGTTTAGACACCTTAGCTAAAGAAAACCTATCTTCGTGTCAATAGATAAAAGATAGAGAAAAAAAACGTTTGATATGTTTGATAAAGTTAGTTTATTTCGCCAAAATTTCAGAGAAATTCATTCAGCCAATTTTTCCGTAGAGTTTTTTATAGATTTTTACGAAAAAGGCGTTTTTCACTCTCGAATTTGCTTGAAAGTGAACCGAAATTCATTTAAAAAGATGCAAATTGAACAAAAAACACTTTTTATAGAGCAAACTATAGATTAATTCGTGAATTTGTTACTTTTTAACAGAAGTACGAAAAAAACGAAAAGACTTATGCATCAACCTATTATATGAGTGTGATATATCATTCGAAAGCTGAAGATCTCCTCTACATTTTGGAATAAAAAGTTTTTGAATTCATGCAACTTTTTGGGGAAATTGACTGCACAAAGGGAGAGGTCGTTTTCGAAAAAAAACCCACTCCAGCTTAGCTATTCCTCAAGTTTTATGGGGTAAAATAACCGCCCAGAAAAGAAAAGAAAAGTAAAGATGCTCTGAAATCATTATATTTTTAAAAAAGTTGTATTGATATATCTATTGGCCAAACATCAAACGGTTAACTCAATTTGAGCGGAGCCAAAACTTGATCCAAAGGCACCCTTCCATTTTTTGACCACCTCTTCTTCTGTCAGTCAATTTGCCCAAAAACGAACAAATTCAAAAACTTTTTATATCAAAATGTAGGGGAGATCTTTAGCTTTCGAATAATACTTATATATATCTTTTTCTTGATTTCGGTATCTTGAAAAATTTACAAAATAGTAAAAAACGCGCATTCATAACTGGACAACCCAATAATTATCAATTCAATATTTAAATAATTTAAAGAAATCTAATTTACCTTTTCATCAATTTGTATTAAAAATTAATTTTTTGACGGAATACGGTAACTTTTTGATTAGGAAATGCTTTAGGAAATGCTTTTTCTAGGAAATGCATTTCCTCACGATCAAACTGATCACAATCCTCAAATCGCGATCAATCTAAGCTGATGGTTTTACACTCTTAAGTGTAATCTCTTCAAGTTTTAAACACTAAGCTCATTAGAACACAAATTGTCTAGTTTTTATTGAAGTTTTATTATTATATAACTTCTAGAAGAGTCCTTTAACTTTTAGAATCATCTTACCAAAATTTACAATTGCCATCAAGCTTTTCGGAAGTTATTGAAAAACTAACAAAGTTACTTTTTGAAAAAGTTATTTCTTTCTTTCTTTTCTTTCTTTTCTTTCTTTTCTTTCTTTTTTTCTTTTCTTTTGAACATTTCTTTTATACTGAAAAAGCTCACTTGATATGACGTGCTGTCCTTGACTCTTTCTTTCTTATCGCAGAGGAGTTTCCACTAAACTTGTATTGCTCTTTGCTGAAATATAAACCCAATTATTACCTCAACGTTTACCGAACGAAAATCATAATGAAATTTAGAATCAGGACAATCGTCTTGATTGAACATTGCGCAATAATCATCAGATGAATAAGTGACATTTGTTTCAGGTGAATCACTGTGACAAGAGATTATTTCAGCGTCAGCACCTGGGAATTTAGAATACGTATATCTTATTTAAAATTTCCACTTAACAGATTAACAATTTTCAGCAAGCCAAAGCAAACAAGCAGCAAGCCAAAACAAGCAAGCAGCAAGCATCAAGCCGAAACAAGCAAGCAGTAAGCAGCAAGCCAAAGCAAGCAAACAGCAAGCCAAAGCAAGCAAACAGCAAGCCAAAGCAAGCAATCAGTAAGCTAACTGTCTCATTATGATCTTAAACTTTTGCTATACATCTCTCTCACCTGCAAATGTCATAAACAACAAATTTCCACATTCAACGATCATCACAAACTGAAATCAAAAGAACTTAATGTTTCAAAGCCCGAGAAGCTTACATTAAACTCAAAAAAACTTTGAGTTTTTATTTCGGTTAAGCTTATTAACAATTTTGGCCTTTCTCACCTCAATTAAAATCGCAAGCAACAAGCCATAACGACCGAACAGCAGAAAATCGTCGATACTCTTCTTTTCAGACATCAGGAGATTTAGTCAAAACCCCAAAATAACTTGGAATCAAATATTGAGCAACCAGCTCTTCGAAATCTGTTTTTCAATGTTATCAGAAATGTCAGAAATCAAGCGCTTATCGCTTTGCATGGGCGCTTTTTCCGCCCAGCTGTGAACAGGTCGGGTGATCCTTGCAACCGTTCAGAAGGATTTTGATCTTTGATTATTTCTATTTAGGACAATCAAGCGAACAGAAAAGGCTCAATCGCAAGCTGAAAGGTTTTTCTGAAATGTTTTTTTAT